TTATCTCTTTAAAAGCAATATCTGGTACTGGTTTTATAATTGGTGATATTTGGCCGACTTTGATGATATTAATGGAATGTGGATGCTCCAAACATTTATCAAGCTCTTTTTTGTTTTGTGGAAGTCATTATCGTAGGAAATCTATACATGTTGAAGATATAAACTTTTCCACTAGGACTTGAAAATACTTGCAACTTAAAATTAAAAGTAACTTCATTAGAGCCAGGAAAGGTGGCTCACACCTATAATCCTAGCATTTGGAAGGCTGACACAGCAGGATTGCTTGAGGCTAGCAGTTTGACACCAGTCTGAGCAACACAGCAAAAATTCTACATAAAATTTTAAAATTACCCTGGCATAGCAGCGCATGCCTGTAGTCCCAGCCTCAAGAGGCTTAGGCAAGAGGCTTGGTTGAGCTCAGGAGCTTGAGGCTGGAGTGAGCTATGACCACACCACCACACTTTAACCTGGGAAACAGAGTGAGATACTGTCTTAAAAAAAAAAAAAAAAAGCTTCATTATTATGCCAATCATGCATATATTACTGGGACATATAGGATTTTGCTTTATTATACTTTGCAGACACTGTTTGTTTTTGTTTTTGTTTTTGTTTTATAAATGGAAGGTTTGTGTCAATCCTGCCTAAGCAAGTCATTTTTCCAACAATATGTGCTCACTTCATTTCTATGTTTAATATTTTGGCAATTCTCACGATATTTCAAAGTTTTTCATTATTTTGTTGAGACAGTATCTTGTTCTACAGCCCTGGAACCTGAAGTTACACCTGAGCTTACGTGGATCCTTCTGCCCCAGCCTCTGACCTGAGACGAGGCATGTGCCACCATGCCTAATTTGTGTATACGATATTGAGGGTCTCGCTATGTTGCCCTAACTGGTCTTGAATTCCTGGCCTCAGGTGATCTTGCCTCCTCATCCTCCCACAGCACTGAGAGTACAGGCATGAGCTGCTGTGCCCACTCTTTGTTCATTACTATATGTTATGGTAATCTGTAATCAGTGATCTTTGATGTTACTATTGTAATTGTTTTGATACATCACAAACCACACCCATAAAAGACAGCAAACGTACTTAGTAAATGTTGCATTTGTGTTCTGGCTGCTCTGCAGACAAGCCAGTCCCCTATCTCTCTCCCTTTCCTCATACGTTTCTTTTCCCTGAGATGCAACTATATTAAAATTCAGCCAATCAATAACCCTACAATACCCTCTATGTATTAAAGTGAAAGAGTCACATTATCTCTCACTTTAAATCAAAAGCTAAAAATGATTAAGCTTAATGAGGAGGGCTTCTCAAAAGCTGAGACAGGCTGAAAGCTGAGTCACTCGTGTCGAACAGCCACATTTTGAATACAAAAAAATTCCGGTAGGAAATTAAAAGTGCCACTCCAGGGTACACATGAATGATAAGAAAGCAAAACAGCCTTCTCGTTTAGATGAAGAAAATTTGAGTGGTCTGGGTAGAAGATCAAACCAGAGACAACATTCCCATAAATGAAAGTCTAATCCAGAGAAAGGCCCTAATTCTAATCCTGTGAAGGCTGAGGGAGGTGAGCAAGCTGTAGAAGAAGAGTTTGAAGCTATCAGCGGTTGGTTCATGAGGTGTAAGTAAAGCCACCTCCTTGACATAAAATACAAGAGCTGATATTGAAACTTCAGCAAGTGTCTGGAAGATGTCGCTAAGATCACTGATGGAGCTGGACCTGCTAAACAACAGATTTTCAATGTAGGTGCAACCACCTTTTAGTGGAAGAAGAGGCCATTTAGGGCTTTTGTATCTAGGGAAGAACAGTCAGTACCCAGCTTCAAAGGACAGGTTGACCCTTTTGGTTAAGAACTAATGCTGGTGCTGACTTCAAGATTAAGCCAATGGTCATTTACCATTCTGAAAATGCTAAGGCTTTTAAGAATTATACTAAATATACTTAGCCATGTTCTATTCAGGGAACAACAAAGCCTGGATAATAGCAGATCTTCACTGCATAGTTTAAGCCCATTATTAAGAACTGGCCAGAAGAAAAGATTCCTTTCAAAATATTACTGCCCTTTGACAATGTACCTAGTTATCCAGGAGCTTGGAGGGGGATGTACAGGAGGTTAATGTGCTTTCCATGCCTGCTAACACAACATCCGTTCTGCAGCCAATAGATGAAGGAATGATTTCAATTTTCAAGACTTATTATTTAACAAATACATTGTATAAGGTTTTAGATGCTATAGCTAATGATTTCTCTGATAGGTCTGGACTTAAGTCTCCAGAAATATGAGATAATACATTTCTGTTGTTTAAGCTACCAGTCTGTGGGACTTTGTTACAGAAGTGTTAGCGAACTAATTCAGCGCTTATAACATGAAGCAAGTACTCCCAGCCTAAAAGGAGCACTTGCAGAACATGGAGACTTGGCTGATGGAGGGAATTTATGAGTTCTTTTAACATGCCCACTATGCCAGAATTTTAAGGGTAACTCTTGGAAAGGGCTCCACAAACATTGCGTGTGTGTGTGTGTCTTTTTAGTTATAGAGTTCTGTGGGGTCACCACCACTAACATTTATTGTTAATGAATTATCTATGACTTTTGTCATACTGTGATAACAGAAGTGAGGCATTGCAGCTGGGCCATGTGTGAACTGCTAAAGGGAATTGATGGTTGGAGATCTCTGGTAGGGAGGTATGGCCTCCAAAGCCGGAAATATTTAATCTCTGGTTTTTATAGAAAAAGTTTATGTTGGCTTGCTTAGAGCAAGTATACTGCTTGGGAATCCAGTCTTTTTTTTTTTAATTAAATCATAGCAGTGTACATTAATACTATCATGGGGTACAGTGTACTGTTTCTGTATACAATTTGAAATACTTTCATCCAACTGGTTAACATAGCCTTCTTGTCTTTTTCTTAGTTATTGTGTTAAGACATTTATATTCTACATTTAGAGGGATTCACATGTACCCTTATACGATGAACCATAGGCGTGATCCCACCAAGTACCCTCCCTCCACCCACCCTCCTTCTCCTCTCTCCCCATGTCTCTGGGCTAAAATTGGGTTGTAGCTTTCCTATGAAAGCTATAAATTAGTTTTATAGTAGGGCTGAGTACATTGGATACTTTTTCTTCCATTCCTGGGATACTTTGCTAAGAAGAATATTTTCCAGCTCCATCCATGTAAACATGAAGGAGGTAAAGTCTCCATCTTTCTTAATGGCTGCATAGTATTCCATGGTGTACATATACCACAATTTATTGATGCATTCATGGATCAATGGTCTCTTGGGCTTCTTCCATGACCTAGCAATTATGAACTGGGAATCTAGTCTTCTGGATTATAGAACAAATTCAGCAAATGGTCTGATTTGGACACAAAGCCCTGGGATCCTCAGATCATGACATCTTTCTGTTTCTCACAGTAGAAATTGACACGTTGGATTAAGAGGAAGAAATTGAAAAGCCTCATCCATCTCTTTCCTCCAAAAACAAGATGAAATCTCATCTTGGCTGAGAGAGGGCAATAGCACCTTTTTGGGCACAAGAAGGCAGCCAGGACACCAACTTCAGCAGTGACCTCAAAAAACCAGCACAGTTTTTGTATCTTAGAGATCACTCACCTGCCCCCACCTGGCTAGCTGCTCAGCAATAGCCAATAGATAGCCCGTGTCCTGGCTGCCTTCCTGTGCCCAGAAAGGGGCTATTGCCCTCTCTCAGACACATTCCCTCTTCATCTCTCCCTCCTGTGGGTTCTCCCATCAACCATCTGGTCATTCTGTCAAGGCCAATTAAAGATGCTTCCTTACAGCTTCTGAAGTTAGGTTAGTGATATGGAATGCTCCTATCACCACCCCACCCCTGCAGAAGGCAATTTTTGGTTTTCTTCCCCAATTTTTTTTAAAGTAGGTTTTGTTTCCCCAACTCCCCAAATCCTTGAGCCAGAAGTGGGATGTTTATCCTTAAGTGGACTCAGACCTTGAGTGCCCGTCCCTTCCCTCTGTTGAGTGTTTTGTCTCTCATCCTGTGCCTGATGCACCTGGGCTGGGAGGACACTGCCTGGGCTCAGTTTTTATAAATGTCTCAAGTTCAAGACTCCAGATTATGAATCAACTTTGTCCCTTTTTTGACTGAGTAAGCAAGTCTTAGGCTTGGGGGAGGGACCCGTAATGTGATTTCTTGTCTTTTTCCCTCCCATCATTGTATATAACTTTTGATAGCCAAATCCCAGATTTGTACTTTATTTTCCTGAGACTACTAAAACCATTCTCTTCCACTTGATTTAACATAACATTTAGAAAAGGAATAAATGTTGACCCTTTAAATAAAACAGAGATAAAAAAAGCTCAGCTCATAATTATAATTTTAAATGTGGGCATTTCTGGATTGTGTTTGAAGCACATGGATTGGTGTGTTTGTGGTCAAGGATAAGTTCTAAGATAAGTTGTAATACAAATCACCAAAGTCCTTATTTATTTGAATAAGAAGTAAAGAGAACAATTTTTTGCCTATATATGCATTAATACTATAATATATATGCATAGAGAATGAAAAAGTATATAAATCCAATATATCTACTTCAATTATGAAAATAATTTCTTTAGGTTTTTAAAATTTACCACATCTTCACCACTAGTTAATACAAATGTTTAGTACTTGCCTAAATTTTCTAATAAGATTAGAAAGACTGATGTATTTCTCATAAAAAAATCTATTTTTAACTTGTTTCTATTGCCTTTGGCTATTTAAGCTTCGAAGCAATTGCTAATTTAGTTTTCCTCCTGGGACTCAATACCTGTGAATGATCACTACAACAGCCTCTATAGGTTTAAAAAATGCAAACGTTTACTTATTTTTCAGAGAACCCGATGTTACCCTGGGGACCAATTATTAAGTATTTATTATCTTTCTTTGAGTTAATTCTGTTAACTGTTCATACCAGGTTTACAATACCAAATGGAAGAATGTTGACTGAATAAACACTTTTTATATTTTCTTCTGTTTCAGTTGATTTATCGCTAGTGAATAAGGATGAAAATGCCATCTATTTCTCGGGGAATTCTCTTGGCCTTCAACCAAAAATGGTTAAAACATATATTGAAGAAGAGCTAGATAAATGGGCCAAAATGTAAGTATTATTTTAAAAGCTACTACTCTATATTCATGCAAGAATTTGAAAAATCACACTTGGTTGTCTAATTTGGAAAGAGTCCCTTTGTCTCCATGAGGGATTCTCTTCCCAGTCCTCTCCCAGATTCCCAAATCCACAGTGTTCAAGTCCCTAATATAAAGTGGCGTAGTATTAGTGTTCAATCTATGCACATCCTCCTGTATATTTAGTTTTTTAATCTGTACTGATTTAGTGTCACGACCCGTCGGGCTCCTATGGCCCTGGTCTCTGTTAGCACAGGAAGGAACCAGGCGAGAGGCAGATTAGAAGTACAAGCCTGTGGAAGGCGGGCTAGCCCTTACTTTCTAGGTAGCCCAGAGCAACCTCCCCACCAGCCTTTTACTGAAACGGAATGATACAGGTGAGGGGAGTAATTAACAATGACTGTGTGCTCTTCTTCCACAAGGAACACCTGTGGACGAATGGCTTGCGGTCCACCCCTCAGCTGCAGATCATCTTGCTCAGATGTCATCTGGCTCTTGGCTTCTCCTAAAATTTAGTTCTGTTTTTTGAGAAAGGATCACTCCTTGGTGAATGAATTATATTGCAGTGGTGCCATCTTAGCTCATAACAACCTTAAACTCCTGGGCTTACGCAATCCTCCTGCCTCAGCCTCCCAAGTAGCTGGGATTATTGGCATGTATTACCACACCGGCCCTCCCACATACTTTGAATCATCTCTAGATTACGTGTGATAACAAATACACATATGTGCACAATGTAAATGCTAGGTAAATACTTGTCAATACTGTACTGTTTAGCAGATAATGACGAAAGAAAATCCTACATGTTCTGTACAGATGTGATCACCCATTATTTTTCCCCACATATTTTTCATGCCTGTATATTTGATTTCATGGATGTGGGACCCACAGATAGAGGAGCAACTGTACTCTGGGGCAGGAGAAACATGAATCATCACACTGTTCAGTTATATGATTTTACTGATGATCCAAATAAGTTCAATTGGCTAGCTAATGGAAGAGTCAAAATTAAAGGTTTTTAAATATTAAACCTGGTCTTTCTCTTGTTGACATGTCTATTAATAAATCATATGCAATCATTCTACTTTATTTCTTAAGTGACTAACAAAGGACTGATGTCAATAGTTAGGGTTTTATTCCTTCATGTTTAGTTCTTAAGTGAAAGAACTAAAAATAAGGAAAATAAACATATTGAGGAAGTAAGAAGTCTAGTGAAGCACAAGGTCCTTCCCTTCTGAACCTAACCCTTGATTTAGTGGGTAAGATGCTCTGTTTGCCTTCAGCTAAGGTGATTTGCACCAACCGTGAGAGTGTCTCAATTGGAACCATTTTTTTCTCCATCTCTTGTGTCCTCCTTTCCCTCTTCTGACTGTGAGACTCCTCACAACCTCTCCTCCCTGAGCCCTACGCTCTGCCAGCCCAGTCCTCACAGCCACCCTGATTATCCCTCCCTCAGTGACACTACTCTTGGGCAGGCAGTTTGGAAGGATCTCTTTTTTAATTTTTATCAGTTTAATGTTCTTAGCTGTATTATAACCTCTTTAGAAACTAACCCACTCTTTGGTATTTTCTATTTCTCATCAGTAATTACTGATAAATTTAAAATAGAAGTATCTTTAAATATCTAATTTTGTAAATAGTCAGAGATCTTTCAAAATATTTTCTGATTTGTTGAAACTGAGGTATCCATATAAAGAGGAGCCAAACTTGAAGGTCAGGTAATAAAATTTCAGAAAGATGAAACCAAACCAAACAAGAATTCTGGAGATAGAACATTTGGCTCTCCTAGAAACTCAGAACATTTTCTCTACCTTTCTTCATCTGCATGTCACTGGTCATTCATACTGGGACCAGTATCTGTTCTTTAAAGCCAAGTTTACACTGAGTGTACTAATGATTACTCCTCCTATGGCCATCAGATAACATTGCAAAGTTCTTCATTTTAGTGGTTATGAATGTAAGTTTACAATTTAATGCTACAATGAAAAAGTTTAGATATTTTATCAATCCTTCTATAAATTTAGCTGCATAACTTTTATGCACAATTTGCAAAATATGTATCACATTTTGCACTAGGAGGTTTTATTATTTAATAAATGGAGGTCATAGTTAATAAAAATGGTTAATATTCTTTTTTGGCCTTAATGTAAGAGAGAGCAGAGAATTAGAATGAATTTGAACTTTAGAAAGTGTCCTTGCCTCTTGGATGTTCATTCAGCAAGCCTGTGCATTTTTATTCCCTAGGCATTTAAAAAAGATGCCACCCTGCTATTCTATTCATATCCTTATGGTTATCCTACTTAAGTAAGGGACTGGTTGATTATTTTCAAGGCTTTAAACTTATATCTCAGGAAAGTGCCTGTCATAACACTTACCCTTCTATTGTTGTTGCCTTTTACTTTTTATACTTTATGTTGCATTGATAGAAAAATTTCATAGTCTTAATTAAACCTTCTCACAGAGTTTTATTGGACAGACAATTCATAAAAGAGATGCATTTTGGTGCATCAGGCAGTGTGAGCTTAATTGAAAAAGATCTCTTCTGAACAAAGACAGACTTCCCATCTTGGCTTTGTTTGCTTTATCTAGTCTTCTTGTTTCAAGCTGTGGCGAACCTTGTCAACATGGTCCTGCCTGCTCATAAATGTCAGCGCCATTTGAGGTACATGGTCACATTCCCGACAGTTCTGCCTCCTCTACCATCTTTAATCCTAAAAGAATTTGGTCATTGTTATTACTTCCCCCCCCCAAAAAAAATAATTTAGCTTCAAATTCTATCTCTGGTCTTTTTAAGATAAAGTCCTGTTGGGAGTAAAACTTCCTCTACCAACTTAGAATTTAGGTCAGATCAATAGGGGTTTGTACATTGACAGCAGATTGGGTCACAGGAGAAAAGTGTATTTCACACGTAGGCAGAAGCAGGCTATAACGAGTGGCTCATGAACAGCCAGGCATATGGATTTATCTACCAGCTTAGGTAAAGGGAAGAGGACTTTGATGAGAAAATATAACAAAATCTATTAAGGTTTTTCATCCTGATGTTAAAGGCAACATGCTTTCTGGCTGAAAGCTCCTAGGAGGGGATTAATGGCAGCTGAATTTGTACCTCCTGGTGCTACGTCTTAACGTTCTTCCGAGTGTGGGTCAATGGCAGCCATATTTTTAGGAGGCTCTGCCTAAGTTTAGGTAATGTTTCTTTCTATGGCTGCTTTTTCTTCATATGTGTTTAGTTTAAGGCAATCTTCATGCACCTTTGGTGAGCTGTTGGTCCCTTCAGTTCTATTTCTGATGATTGCTTTGTTTCCATGCTAAATCTCCCCTACATATGTTAAGTGTGCCTCCTGCTCCAGGGCCTCCCATTACTGTGGTTAATTTGACTTGATCATTTCTTCCTCCTTGCCTCCTTCCACCCCAATTTTGTCCAGCTTCTTGGCTGATGCTCGACCCAAGTCCATCCTGCCTTTCTTCTTGACCAATGGAAGATTATGGGAAAGACCAAGTCAAAGACAGCTACACATTTACTAAGTGCCCTAATGCACATTGTAATGAGCTGCTTAGTTTGAAAAGATAAGCTACATTCTTAACAGTAGCATGTAATTAGAATGGTTTGACCAAGGGCAAAATAGCTGAGGAATATAGATACCAAGTCTCTGGCCATCCAGGGCCTGTAATAGGAAATGACATTTGGCACATGGCTGTCATCTCTTCAGTTTTATGTCCTATAGCACACATACTGCCTGTCATATGTATGTGAAGAACAAACCATTTCTGGTCATAGTGCAGCTTAGTCTTATAATTCATGGGGCTACCATCCTTGACTCATTAGACTAAATGAAAGTCAAGAATAAGAGTGCATTTAGAAATAACTTAAGATCTCTTTTAGTTCATTCCTGCTACTTTATGGAATACCTGAGGCTGGATAATTTATATAAAACAGAAATTAATTTTCTCATGTTTCTAGAGGTTGAGAAGTTCAAGATCAAGGCCCTGGCAAATTAAGTATTCAGCAAGGGCTGCTGTCTGCTTCCAGGAGTGATACTGCTTACTGTATCCTCATGTGTTAGATGAGATGAACACTGCTCTCCCATTGCTTTTATAAAGAATGTCCGTCTTATTCATAAGAGCTCTTCCCTCATGGCTTAATCACCTCCTGAAAGTTCTACCTCCTAATACTGTCAACTGTTGATAAAATTTTAACATATGATTTTGAGGAGAAAACTTATTCAGACCACAGCAAAACTTACACGATTTCTTCTAAAACTTCCACTTAATTAAGGCAAAATTGTAAAAATAAAGCTTCTTTACTGGCACTTACCACTGTGTTTGTTCTAAAATTCTTGTGTTATTTTACCATTTCCTCTTCACCTTTGGGATTTGCTAAAAGAGATTAATAGAATGTTGAAGAATATATTTGTTTTTTGTAAAATGATGTTATTTAGGCAATTTCAATATTTTAAGACAGAAATGTGTTAGGGCGACTGGAATCACTTGATACTTAATAATTAATTGTCTGGAAAAAGGTGCTACACCTATAAGAAGTAACAATATGCTTGAAATCTGTGGGTCTGCCAGAATTAATTAGGCAGTAATTAATGACTTTAGGGGGAATATCATATATTAAACATTTACTAATAATCTAGATTATTTAAAGGAGAATAACATGGGTTAATAATCATAATAAAAACATTCAGCTGGAAGGAAAGATGTCTCAGTCCTAAAGAGGCTACGTTAAGCTGATGAACAGATTTTACATCTTTAAGATAGAATCACAATATTTTAGGTCACCTACTTAGTCAAATCGGCTAGATAAATGGTGCTCTCTTTTTTTTCACAAGAGGGAAAGCCTACAATAGTTTTGGCTTTATAGTGGTTCTTCTAAGAATTGTGACAGTTTGAAGCCAGAAGACTAACCTACAAGAAGCTGAGCTAATATAGCACAGCTGACGGAGTTTGCTCAGCCCATATTCTATCTGCACACACCTCCCATCTTTACCTAAAGATTCACCATGATTGCGAGGATGCTTGTCCCCAAAGACTGTAAGTGTTGTTATAGTGTTAGAGGAAAGGCTGTTTTTATGTTATTTAAGTATTTTTATATTGTTAGGGTAAGGGTTACCTTTATGTTGTTTAAATATTGTCAGATTGTTAGAGTAAAGCTACTCTTAGGTTGGGGTTATTTTTTATTTATTTATTTTTTTGATGATTCTTTTTGATAAAGTTAAAATTTTCTAGGTTTGTTTCTTTGCATCCCACTATAAAAATTATTAGAATTATAACTGAAGCAGAACAATCTTGGAGAAGCTACTCTCGGTGGTCTCCAGATCACTGGCTTTCTTCTGGCAGTAAAGCTTGGTGGACCTACTCCTATATCTGCATGCTGGCTGGACAGTGTCAGGTGGCCAGCACCCTTTGTCTGGTAACAAGTTCAGGTACGATTATTTAAAGATAAAAATGTTCCACTGAATTACATGTCAGGACAAATCACCTGGTGACCCACAATGACTTACTTTACAGGCAATGTGTGTGCACACAGGGCACAGATAAAACATACCAGAGAGACACAGACCTTTCTTACAGACCACACTAGTCTCATCCATTTAAGCATTTCTTTAAAACCGGAGTGCATGTGTAGGAAAGTAGGAGAAAGTTCATGGTATTGTTACCAGCATGTTTTCTCTGCAGTGGGTCCTTGGTCTGAAGATTGAAGAATGAAACCCTGACCCTTCAAATAAGTAACAGGACAAAGTTTATTTACAGTGAAATACAGAGAGAGTAACAAAGGAGGGTAACAAAGACTTTGGCAGTGGG